TATATATATATATATATATATATATATATATATATATATATATTACAGATCTTATTGTTCCATATTTTCCTAACAGAGTACTTTACTCCAGACTGCAGGTTTACTTGTGGTTCCTAGAGTTTTCAGAAGCAGAATGGGAGGAAGATCTTTCAGGCTCTGGTGGAACCAACTTCCAGTTTCTGTCCGTGAGGCTGACACATTTCCAGTTTTAAGACTGGGATTAAGACTTTCCTTTTGATAAATCCTATAGTTGGGGTTGGCTTGTTATGCTCCTATAGGCTTAGACTACTAAAGGACAAATTGACATAATTTTTTCAAATGAAAAGTTACAAACAGGGCTTAATTTGAGCCGGGTCCTGTCAGACCAAGATCCAGGAACTCTCTTATTTTGACAGGGTGCATTCTGTAAACTGTTTGCTTGGATCCAGCAACTCAAATCTTCACCCCTAAACGTCCAAAGTCATTGCACATTTTTATTAAATAACAAAAATATAATTAAACAGCACAACTAAATTGCAAATTATTTTGACAGTTTAAGTGGGTTGTTAATAATATTTTGATTATTTATTAAAAATATGAGGGGAGACATTGCCCTTGGCCCGGCGGACCCAGTCTGTGGAGTGGATGTTCCGGCCACAGCATATGCACCAGCTCGCGCACACGCTCCTGCCCAGCAAAGACGTGGACGGCATGTTCCACAGGGATGACACCTTGAGCGGCGCACCCTGCGGACAGTGCATGTTACGCACAGGAGCGTCTCCAGACAGCTCTGGAGATCACACACAACTGCAGATGTGTTGGAACTCCCGCGTACATTTCAGAAACAATAAACAAAAAAAGCTTAGGCCTACAGTAAGAAGAAAAATACAATGAGAGAAATGTTTGATGTGCATTATTCACAGTACATCATGTATCAAAACAACAGCGCTAATTTGTCAAAATAACAGCGATCAAAATGTCAAAAAGACACTCCAATTTACTTTCATTAAAAAAATGGATGGATGATGGATGGATGGATGGATGGATGGATGGATGGATGGATGGATGGATGGATGGATGGATGGATGGATGGATGGATTGTCCTTAGTTGGACAAATGATAATTGAAGCACCTGAAGGCAGTGGTAATCAAGAGTGGAGCTGCAGGAGCATCAATGCGCAGGACTGAATTTGGCGGAGAAGAGTCAGGCTTGGAACCATGAAGTGAGGGGATGGGGGCGGGGTTTAGGATGCTTGACAGAATCTAAGCTGCTGTTGCTCTCTAATAGTAATTGAATCAAACGTTTACAAATGTAGGTAAATGTAAATGTTTAACAACCTGTTAAAATACTCCAAACTGCAGGAAATGGCATCTACTGTACTTTAATCAAAATTTTCTTGGGGAGGAGCCACAGACCCCCCACCCCTCCGCTCCCCTTGCATCCCCCTGCCACAACACTGCCGCACACACTCACACACACACCCTCGCCGGCCCGCCCACTATTTGCAATCTGGCATCGATTGATTTAAAAATTAAGCCCTGGTTAGAATTGAATAGTTTTCATTTGATACTATTTCTATTTTAGCATGACCTGCCATTGTGTATCTATTCCTCTTAAACCCAGCCAGTTGAAGCAGATGGCCATTTGTCCTGAGCCTGGTTCTGCTAAAGGTTTCTTCCTCAGGAGAGTTTTTCCTTTCCACTGTCACCTTCATGCTTGCTCAGGATGAGAGTTCTGTGCTGGTGATAAATTCAAAGCAGTCTGCTCCTCAGATAAATAATGTTAAATTATTATTTTTATATATGAATGTTTCTGTTCAGTGCCCTGAGACGACTTCTGATGTTACGTGGAGCCATATAAATAAACTTAACTGAATTGAATTGAATTGAATTGAATAAGACAAAACAAGGGTAGCACTGCGGCTGTCTAAACTGAAGCCCATATTGTCCAAAAAGAACCTGGAAACAGTGATACATGCATTCATTACATCTAGGCTTGATTACTGCAATTCGCTCCTGTTTGGTATCAGTCAGACCTCCATTGCACAACTACAACTGGTCCAGAATGCAGCAGCCCGATTTTTAAACAGTACAGGCAAAAGAGAGCACATTACACCAGTTTTGGCCTCACTGCACTGGTTACCGGTTCACTTTCGAATCCAGTTCAAAATACTCATGTATGTCTACAAATCACTGAACAGTGTCGCCCCCCCCCCCCCCCCCCTCCCATCTCTCTGATTTGCTACAACCGTATGTCCCACCACGCTCCCTGAGGTCAGCGGACCAGTTGCTCCTCACAGTTCCAGGAACTCGTCTTAAGCGCAGAGGTGACAGGGCCTTCTCTGTAGCAGGACCAAGACTCTGGAACGAGTTACCTCTGCTTGGCAGACAGGCCCCCTCCCTCTCGGTTTTCAAGTCCCGTTTAAAAACTCACTACTATTCAATAGCTTTCAACACAAGATGATCTGTGTTTTGATTCTGTATGCTCTACACTGGTTTGTCGTCATTATCTGCATCATTTTTTGTCTATATTCTATTACCTCATTTTGTATTTTGCTTTGTGTGTTACCTGTTGTTTTGTCTGTACAGCACTTTGGTTGGCCTTGTTGCTGTTTTAAGTGCTTTATAAATAAAGTGGTATGGTATGGTATGGTATGGTATGGTATGGTATGGTATGGTATGGTATGGTATGGTATGGTATGGTATGGTATGGTATGGTACTGTGGCACAATTGGAAGAGCTGCTGCCTCTCAGCGAGGAGGTTGTCCTGGTTCAAATCCTGGTTTGGGGGCCTTTCTTGGTGGAGTTTGCATGTTCTCTCTGTGCATGTGTGGGTTTTCTCTGGTTTCCTCCCACAGACCACAAACATGCATGTTAGACTGATTGGTATCTCTAAATTGTCCCTAGGTGTGAGTGAGAGAGTGAATGGTTGCTTGTCTTGTTTGTCTCTATGTGTCCCTGTGATGGACTGGAGACCTGTCCAGGGTGTACCCCACCCCTTGCACAGTGACTGGGCACCGGCGACTCCTGTGACCCAAAATGGAAGAAGCGGGTAAAAGATAATGGATGGATGGATGTATTTCTTAGTTCATATCTTAGATATTATTACTGTTTTTCTTTTACATTTTATACTTTCGTTGGATGTAACGGGGACCCTGTGTACACAATTTTGTTCCACCACATGTACCACATGTGGTGCAAATGACAAATCAAGAAACTTTGGCTTTGACTAAATGATCCGGTTTTCAGCCAAAAAACAGAATAAAATTTAACTTAGCCTTGCTATTAATTTCCATCTTCATCCACTGATACAGTCCAGATACCCCCCCCCCCCCCCCTTTAAATATAATAAGTCACAGGAGACTTAATTTGCCCCACATCAAACTTGAGGGCTGCCACTCCTGAGGCAGGCTGTAATGTCATCAAACAAATGTTCTATCACATTTCTCAGAAAGACCATTGTGATTTTTTCAGAGAAATGCCATAATCCACTCTGCCTCTCACTGCCCCTGATATGGTTTTAGTTTTGATGCCGGCGGATTAGTGTAAGAATTAGGGAAGATGACTAATACTGTCAGTGGCCCTTTACTGAAATGACAAAGAGGGATTTTTCTCTGTGCTGAACCCATTCACATCTTTTCTGATTACCTGAGAGTGAAGTTGGTCAGCTGTGCAGAGCTGGCCATCAGTATGTAGAAAGTTGCGATGTCCGTCTTCTTCAGAGGTTTAGAGGACGTCCGGATGACGATGGCATTGCCGAGCTTGAGCCGCGAAAGCGTCGCCATTCCCTTGGGTACCTGCAGGAGATGCACGCTCCCAATCCTCTGCATGGGCGTGACGGGAACGTTCTCAGTCTGTGGCTCCTGCTGCTGTGATCCACTCCATCGACTTCCATTCACAAAACTACACCTTCCGTTGACTCTGGGCTTAGCCTGGTAGTACAGCTCCACTGGGTTCCCCATAGATGGATCCTGCCTTTCTCTGCTGGTGCCATCTGACCCCAGAGCAAACCAGCCCAGCACAGGAACCAGCTCAGCCATGCAGGTTCCCCTCTCTCCTCCAATGGCACAGGAAGCCCTCACCTCCTGAGTTTGCCAGAAACCATACACTGTCACACATGGCAGCTCATCCACAGCTCCCTCCTCTTTGCTCCAATCTCTCCCTGCTACATAGAAGAGGACGCGCACTTTGGGTTTGGAGGAGAATACCCAAGGCGTCAGCACAAAGGCCTGGATTTTCCAGTTGAACGTAAAGACGTCTGGAGCATTGAAGAGCTGCACAGACTGCATCAAATCCAGCGGCACAAGCCTCTCTGTGGACATGGCTCCATAGCTGGCACTGACAGCTGGCTGGCGGCTGGCTCTTAAAATAACAAAGGGCTGTGTGTGACTCTGCATGCTGGAGTTCCTCATGAAGTCCTGTCCGGCCTCCTTAAGAAAGAGATAGTCAGCATCCCGTACCTCGTAGTTGACGGGCAGGAAGACGGGGAAAGGCACAGGGCTCCTGCTGTCAGTCATTTCTTTACTGCTCACATCTGTGGGATGGAAACACCAAATTACAATAGGTTCCAGGAATTTCTAACAACAACATAACTAAGCCACAAAATAACATGGCTGAAGATTTTCTTTCTTATCGACATTTGGTTACAAAAATCTGACTTTAGTACTTTATGACAGGGATCATTGGAGGACAACTGATCAGCTGAGTAGAGCATCAAAGAATTAAAAAGGCTTCTGAGCTTAACTTCAAGCTGTCTCCTTAACAAAGAATGAACATGATGATATGAACTTGTAAAACTTTGGGTCACATTCTGGATGTCAATATCCTAATGGAATTTCTATAGTTCACTTCAAGTGAAAGTTTGACTGAGGCCATTAGGCAGCAGCAGAACTCCTGGTTTCTGAAGAACTGTGGAGGACCGACTTTTAACATGCCTCAACACTCAGACTGCAAAGTGAGTCTGACATAAAAAATGTGAAAACTTCTTCTATTTATCTAATCACCCGCCTGTTAGTGAAACAAAGATGGTAAAGATAGGCAGTTTATTTAATGAATACAGAACAGCCATGGCAATATAATATTACGTAAGTGGGTTATTTTATTTATTTATTAGGGTGGTGGCACATAGGTGGGAGAAGGTGAGCCTGTGGAAGGTCGCTAGTTTGATTCCCTGGACCGACAACATCAAATTGTGCGTGTAAAAGGTGAAACATGCACACCTGTCTCCACCCTCATTTGCCCCAATCTGGGCCCTTGAGCAAGGCCCTTACCCCCACCATCTGCTCCCCCGGGTGCCCTAGATAGCAGCTCTCTGCTCCACACAGAGGGCTGTGGTAGCTCAGTGGTCTGTGGTTGTGTCAGGAAGAGCATCTGGCATAAAAATAATTCACAACATCATACGAGTTAGTTCGTTGTGGCGATCCCTGAAGAAAGAAGCAGCTGAAAATACTTTGTAAATAAATAAATAATTATAAAAGTGGGTTATTTTATCCATCCATCCATTATGTTTACCCTGAGGATTGGTGTGTGTTGCTTGTCACACTGGGTTTATCCAGCTCCTACACACATGTCTACTACCCTCATCACCCCAGGTGTCCTTCACTGTCAATCACGGGTGTTCTTGTCCCCTTCTCTTGGTCTGTGTGTTGTTCTCCTTTACATCCTGTTCTGTTCCTGCTCCTCCCATGATCACCTCCCCACATGTAAGTTTTGCTGCCACATCAGCTCTTTTTGTTGTGTATATCTTTTTTCTAATCCATGAGTTCCCGAGTTTTGTCTGCACCCTGGGTTCAACCTCAAGCTCAGATCATGACATACCCACTTCTTTCTTTTCGAGTCATGGGGGTCACTGGTACCCATGTCCAGAAGTCACTGTGCAAGAAGCGGGGGACACCCTGGACAGGTCTCCAGTCCATCACAGGGCCACATAGAGACAAACAAGACAAACAACCATTCACTCTCTCACTCACACCTAGGGACGATTCAGAGTTACCAATCAGTCTAGCATGCATGTTTTTGGTCTGTGGGAGGAAACAGGAGTACCTGGAGAAAACCAACACATGCACGGAGAGAACATACAAACTCCACCCAGAAAGGCCCCCGGCCAGGATTTGAACTGGGACAACTTGCTCGCTGAGAGGCGGCACCTCAACCAATTGTGCCACTGTGCTGCCCAGGTTATTTTATAGATGACAAAAAAAAACAAATTTTTTTTAATAATAACTGATATGCTGGTGAAGATTCTCAGTCATCCAGGACATGATGAATTCAAAAAACGTTCAATACAAAAACAACTGGACTTTATTTGTAACAGAAGACGTTTCGCTCTTCACCCGAGGAGCTTTCTCAATTCAAAGAGCAGTGAAGTGAGGGATTCAGGTTATAAGGCTGAGTGAGATAAGACAAACACACATAAGACACACACACATATGTAGATTGGCAGTTCACACCTAAACACCTTAACAGTAGGTCTTTGTTCCTCTAATTCACAGATGAGACCCCTCTGTTCCCATCAGCTGTGAAAACCGGCTGGGAATCTGTTTTAAAGTTGCATTATATGTTTTTGAAAGTGGAAATCTGAGGCCTCCTCCTCTGTTAAGAGACGGCTTTTCTCTTTTTACATAAATTGCTTCCTTCACCCCCCTCTCAAACCATCTGTGTTCTCGGTCCAAAATGTGCACATTTTGGTCCTCAAAAGAGTGTCCCTTATCTGTGAGATGGAGGTGAACAGCTGAATCTTGTCCAGAGGAGGTGGCTCTCCTGTGTTGAGCCATGCGTCTGTGAAGAGGCTGTTTAGTTTCTCCAATGTAGAGGTCTGGACAGTCCTCACTGCACTGGACCGCATACACTACACCACTCTTTGTGTATGGGTGTGTTGTCCTTAGGGTGGACCAGCCTCTGTCTGAGAGTCCTGCTGGGTTTGAAATGTACTGGGATGTTGTGTTTGTTGAAAATCCTTCTGAATTTCTCTGATACTCCAGCAACATAAGGGACGACAATGTTTTTACGTCTGCTGTTTTCCTTTTTCTGTTTATTGGTGTGTTTTGTAGATTTCCTCGCTGACTTGACAAAAGCCCAGTTAGGACATCCACATGTTTGAAGAGCTTCTTGAACGTGTTTCTGTTCCTTTTCCTTCCCTTCTGTCTTCGTGGGGACACGTTCGGCCCGATGTTGTAAAGTTCTGATGACAGAGAGTTTGTGTTCCAGTGGATGGTGGGAGTCAAACAGAAGATACTGGTCTGTGTGGGTTGGTTTTCTGTAAACTTCAATGTTGAGGCTGTCCTCTTTTTCCATCTGAACCAAACAGTCCAAAAAACGCAGCTCGTTGTCGTTTGCATTTTCTCTGGTGACCTTGATGTTGTTATCGACCGAGTTAATGTGTCTGGTGAACGCTTCTATTTCCTTAGCTTGGATTTTGACCCAGGTGTCATCCACATAACGGAATCAATGGCTTGGCATTGTTCCCTCATAGGAGTGTAGGGCTCTCTGTTCCACTTCCTCCATGTAGAGATTGGCAACAATGGGTGACACTGGAGATCCCATGGCACAGCCGTGCGTCTGTCTGTAAAAACTGTCATTGAACTTGAAATAAGTGGTGGAGAGGCAGAGATCCAACAGGGTGCAGATCTGGTCTGGGGTGAAGTTGGTCCTGTTGATTAAGTCCTTGTCTTGTAGAAGTTGTTTTCTGACGGTTTCTACTGCTTCAGAGATGGGTATGCAAGTGAAAAGAGAAGTCACATCATACGATACAAAGGTTTCTCCTGGGGTTAGTTTCAAGTGTTGAACTTTGTTAGCAAAATCAATGGAGTTCTTTATGTGATGAGGTGTGTTTCCAACAAGAGGAGCTAAAATACCAGCCAGATGTTTAGCAATATTGTATGTCACTGAGTTCATGCTGCTGACGATGGGTCTGAGTGGTGTAATAACTGATCTCCAGAAATTATTATTTTGTTTGTTTAAGATTAGATAAAAGAACCTGTTAGCACTTAAGGAACTTTGTGATAAGAGCTGTGTTTGTGGCGATTTAAAGCTGAGTGTTTTGTTAATTTGATGACCCTTAATTTTAGGTTTCATTGTCATGGAAACGCTGGAGAGGATCCATCGATAAATAGCTGAAGTGTAAATGATCGGTTCTACTATGGCTGTGTTATTAGAGTATTGTCTAATTATATACAATGTCCAACTCTGTCTTTTGTCAAAACACTTGCTCAACTGAACACAGACAGTTGATAGAAAATATTTTTTAACACACATATCTATTATCAGAGAAACTATTTACCCCTGGCCCCTGTTTAGATAAATAAACACCCAGGGTTGTACCCATGTCACAAAAATACTTTTTTTATCACAACATTTTATTCTGTTGAAATTACATTTAGATGCTGCATGAATGCAGAAATTCAAAAATATTTCCCTGAACCATGTAGTCATTTGAATGGACTTATTTAATTTCATCTGCCCTACCTCTCTGATAGAAGATCTGAGAAAAATGCATAAAAATAATTTTTTAACTAGAGAAATTGCATTTCCTGCAAAAATGCAGTGTGAATGCTTATTGCTGAAGAACTTGCTGAAAAACAGCTGAAATTAGCTTAAAAAAATTCTGAGTTGTACCTGAAAAGGAAAAACAAGCCTAAATTAGCAGAAGAAAGCAGAAAGAGCACATACTTGCTGACTTAAGTTTAAATAAGCAGAAATGAGCACAAAAAATATGAAATTAGCTAAAAAATATTTAAAAAAAACAGCTGAAAAGGCAGAAAGAAGCTTAAATTACCAGAAGGAAGCAGAAAGAGCTGAAATGAGCTAAACAAAATGGAATTAGCTGAAAAAGCTAAAATCGGCATCAAAACAGCTAAATAGTAGCTGAAATAACTGAAACTGGCAGAAAGGAGCTGAAAGGAGCATAACAAGCTGAAATTAATAGAAATAAGTTAATTAGGCTGGAAGTTGCAGAAATTACCAGGAACAACTTGAATTTAGTTGAAAACAGCTGAAATTAGCTAAAAAATGCTAAAATTGTAGAACAAGCTTAAATTAGCAGAAGAAAGCTGAAAGAACTCATTTGCCCAATTAGGCTGAAAGAGCAGAAATGAGCCGGAAAACGTGAAAATTATCTGGAAAAAAGCTGAGATAGTCAACAAACAACTGAAAAATAACTTTAAAAAAAGGGGGGGGGGGAGCAGAAAGCAGCTGAAAATACCAGAAGAAAGTGGAGAGAGCACATTTTTGCTGCATTACACTGGAAAAAAGTTTCAATGAGTGCAATAAATGCAGAATTAGCAGAAAAAGCTAAAATGACCATAAAAATAGCTAAAAAATAAATAAATAAAGCAGTAAAGCAGAAACTTACAGAAATAAGCTGACAAAAAAAAAACTGAAATTAGCAGAAAGAAGTTAGAGGAAACATAAAAATGTTCTAGTTAGCAGCAAGAACCTGAAAGGAGCACAACACATCTGAAAAAAACAGCTGAAAGTAGCTGAAAGTAGCTGAAAAAGTTTAAATTTGCACAAGGAAGATGAAAGAAGCTGAACAGC